GTTTTTTAAGGATTCAAAAAAAAAAAAAAAATCCCCCCCCCCCCCAAAAAAAAAAAAGAACAATATTTTTCCTATTTTTATTATCAGCCGATCAAGAAATATCCAAAAAATTGTCAGGAGACAGAAAAGACTTGTCTGCGCTTACGCAACTTGAGCGAAAGTTAAATCCAAAAAAGAATGTCCGAGATACGACGAGGATGTACGCCGGAAAATAATTGCAAAAAAATTGCATACCTAAGAGCATTAGAACTAGCACGAGCAAAAGGTTAGTCAGTTAAAGAAGAAGAAAAAAATTTTAACTCGACCGAGTCTCTTGATAACGATGGTAAAAAGAAAAAAGAAGGAAAACCCACAAAATAAAGATAATTCTTTTCCTAATTAGGGAAACAAAACGGCCATGATCCCCTGGACTTGGATAGCGTGAAGATAATCTCAGCGACGAGAGCGTTACCTGAAAAATCCTTATTCAGGGAGAATCCACCAAATTCCGACGAGCAGGAGTCGGGCTCGAACGAAAAATTGAAAACGAATCCCAGTAAGGAAGCCAAACCGAAGCAGGATCAAATCACTCAAGACACAGCGGAGTCATCCTGAAGCCCAGAAGAAACGAGAATATCCTGAAAATCCCAAGGGTCCCAAGTTCAACTTAAAGCCAAACCATCCCCGTCATCCCAGGAGAGTGAAAGGACCATACCAAATCGAATTATCCTTGTTAATTCGATCGTGCCCAGGGTAGACAAAAAGTTCCTGCGTTCCTCATCCAGCAGCCCCAGTAGCCGTCCCTTAGCGTTTGGTAACCTCGCGGTGGAGATGACTCGGGAGGGACAAGGTAAACAAAGACAAAAGTCCCTAGAATCATCAATATTTATTGGCCACTCATATACGTGGGTAAAAGCAATAGCAGTCTGGCCAAACATGCAATCAAGGATGATCAGTCATTGTTTATATATAATCCATCCAAATAGAGCTGTACGGCGAGGAGTGGAAGTCAGATACAAATGACGATGAAGGGGCCGAAGCGTTCGAGAATGATAGTGAGACTTTGTTATCAGGATTTATCGACGGGATATAAACGATAGTAATTTCTTATCCTATCCAGAATATTCGAGGGCCGTATTTACTTTCTGGACCCTGGTCATAGTAGTGGGACTTTACGTTAGTTGTGTGTACGCACTGAGCAGTCCACCGCGTAACACTTCTTCGTAGCTTTTCTTTAAAAGAAATGATACAAGAGAAAAAGTAACTTACTCGAGGGAATGAATTAGCCAGGATCATTCGTCGAAGTCAAGTGGATAATGAAAGAATCCTAACCTTACACCAGGACATCTCCCAATGGTTGATGCAGTAAAAAGTCGTAGAATCCTGGTGAGAAATTATCTCGTTTCTTTAAAACGTCTTCAGAGTAATGACGTCTCTTTTTTTCTGTTACAGCTTCAGTTTATTTCTTCCATATTGATTATCGTACTGATCGTTGGTAAAGAGCTTACGTATCTTCGGGCGCTGCGAGCGCTGCGTCAACGAGTGGAACTATTATGGAAAGTGGAGGCAAACTGTCTTCGTAATTTAAAAACCAGTAAATGGAATTTCAGTGGCTGCAAGGGCATCTGGTCAGTGGGGTGTAGAAAACTTTTTTTTTTAAATTGAACTTGCGCAAGATAACCAGCCATACAGCAAGTGCTGATACGTCGAATAATGGACGCCGGAGGCGCGGGAAGTTTGAAAGAGGAAAATCATGTACGTCTTTCGTTGATTCTTGGCATGGGAAGGAAAAAGAGAAATTTAATAAAGAAAAGTGATAATAATTAAATAAAGATATTACAAAGAATTCCTGCATATCTGGTGCGACTGCTACGGGGAGAATAAATTAAATTATTCTTGCGACACTGTCTAAATGTGTTTTCCGTACTAAAATCTAATTATTATCTCGTCGGAAGTTAGGGAAGCGGCGAAAGCAGCAACAGCAGCTGAGCGACACTCGCGGTGATTCGACGTTGGGATTTAATTAAAATTCGTTTTGCTGGTTTTCCGTAGCGTCGTGACGTTTCAGCGGCGAAAAGAGTGCGACAGGAGTGTCGCCAGCTTCAGCCAAGAGAGGCTGACAAGAGTCAGAATCAGAGCATAAGGTAACAAGGGTGGGAAGGGAGGGGGTGTACAGTGGGTGAAAGGTGGAGAAAAAAGGAAGGCTGAACATTAAATTAGGAAACTCGGCTCCAGCGCACTGCACTCGGAACTGTCATAGGCAGAAGTAGGCCGAGGCCTGTGAGGACTGCAAGGCTCTGAGTACCGGCGCACGAATAGTTAGAGGACTTTTCACTATTGTACATATAAAACGGAGCAAATCTAGAAACACTGCACAGAGGATAACAAGGATAAAGGGAGAATATGAAAAGAAGAGATAAAAGTTTAACAAGGAATTTGAATAGGAAACGTCCCACCCGAGGAAACGTCGACTGGCGCCACTATCGTAAAGTCAACAGTTAGTTCACGGATGTGGCGCTGTAGTCGCGGCTGTTTTATCCAACCATCATTTAAAGACCCAAATCAGTGGGTATCGAAATGCTGGAAATCGGAAGCTGGTTTATCTAATACGTTTACAAGATGGTGGATCCCTCGTACATGGCGCTGGTGAAATATTAATACGAGAAAAGAAGTTTATATATCGGAAAGGGTACATGAGTTTACAGGTTACCGCTAGAGTGAACTCGAAATATAGAAACAATTCCTAATTAAAAGTATCCTCTAGCATTTCGAACTTGACTGTATGTTCCAGGGATGTGGTTCTCGACGGACTGCCATTAGATTCCCTCAGTAAGTAACATATTACGTTTCGAGATTACCACTCGGATGTCTCGCGAATCGCGTTAAATTTCAATCTCTGTCCTGGAACTCCCGCACTCCAGGGTTATCGAGTTAGCTGCGATTCTCAGATATTCCTCTTTTACACGTAAATCCATATCTCGCTGGGAAAACCGCGAATAGGAAAAAAAGTTCACATAGAAATATGAAAATATCGAATAAGGAATTTTAACCTCGCACGGAGCAAGAATAAATATGTCAGAAAGGAATAAGGCACTTTCCATTGGTCTCTTTGTTCTCTTTCTTTCGAACGCTTCCGTTTCCTCCATCCATTTTATTTATTTTTAAACACGACCTCATGGACCGTCGTCACTGCAAAAATATGCTTCTCCAATATTGGTCTCTATAATCGAGCCGTGACGTCAATTTCTATTTGAAGGGACTTATTTACATTACGATTCGTAAGAAGATGGCCCCTAAAAGTGGAATTTATGTCGTGACCCGAAACTCAAAATTCCAAACGAACTGCTGTATCGATCAGCCTGATATGAAATATATCTCGAAGAGTCAGTATCATCCTTGGCAAACCTATTTCCCTTATACTTAACATGCTTCACCCTTCGGTTCATCCCTTTACGCTGTCACTTCCGGCTTGCCGAGAACTCACGTATGTACACTCTCTATACGACTTTACTTAATGACATTACTGTACGTTGACGAATACCAAACTCAAATCACCGATGGCTACCACCATAAAGAAGTTTGCACGATGCTTTATGGCCGTCACGTTAAATGACAATCATAAATGTTGAGTGAAAAATTCAACGCGAAAACATTCAGCAGGGATATACGAGGCAGTGTTCTAGCGGACGGTCATTTTCGTTGGAAACTTGCCTTTATAAACGCACCGGACGATAAAAGACAGTGAGCAAAACAAAATCGACAAATAAACTGTGCTCTTTGTTATAGCTCTCGTACTTCATTATTAGCATATACATCATGGCGCTTTGTGGTACCAGTAATGCAAATGAAGATTAGCCCAGCCTCAAGGCGCCTTTACAAACGTTCGACAATACGTATATACGTATAAGGTACCTTATAGGTTGCAACGTAATTCTTTTAACTTATGACCCGACACCGATAGCAAAACATACGAGAATGAACTATCTTCGAGAACCAACCTACGTTACCTTCGGCCGTCCACCCGTCGTTCGTGCATCCGCAAGCCAGGCGGGCGCCAGCCAATTCTTTTTTCACCGGGAACTGACGAGCCGGTATAAACTGGGAGTTGGGGTGGAACAGGCCCAACTCCACCAAGAACGAGAGCTCTGACGGAACCTATCGGACGAGGCGATAGCTTAACGGATCCTGTCGATTTTTGGGGTCGCGTAAAGTCAGCAAACGCAACTGGATACGCGAACGGGAGCGGACGGTTACGGAAATGCACGGCCGCTCAGGCTGCTAGGTTTGAGGTAGAGAGGGTCGGAGTAAGAGTCCGGCAAATAGTGCGAGAGACAGAGAGCGACGAACCGAGAACGTATCAGAACGAATCTTAACTATCTATCGAGATCCCTTCACCAATTAATAAATTGGGA